GGCGCTCGGGGACTCCGTGCACTGCGTGAAGCCGTACTTCGGCCTCGGGGGGGCCTCGAAGCCTCCCCCCCCTCCACCGAGTAGGGGATCGACTACAGAATGGATTTATCACAGAATTTATTTTGTCTCGTCGAGTCTACGGACGCTGCTTCGATTTCCCAGTAGATTTACGAAGGTTCTACGCATTCGTCGTGGATTCGCTGGGAAAACCTAGTCGGGGGTAAATCAATTCTGCAGTCGATCCCGTACTCGACTCCTCGGCGCTCCGCCGTGGCCGTGGCCCCCCTTGCCTGCCCCATTCCCCCCCCCCCCCCCCACGCTCGGAAGGTCTGCCTCTCCTGCCTCTCCTGTCGTGCCGCCTTCCCCTGCCTTTCCTCGTCGCTGTCGTTGCCGTAGTCGTCGTCGCTGCCTCGCTGTGCCGCCGCTGGCTCACGGTGCAGACACTTTGGCCGCCCGCTGTGCGGATGCTTTGACGGCCGCTACGATCCCCGCTGGGGAGGCCCGCTCCTGCCCGCAGGGCCGCAGCGGCGCCTCCGCACCCGAGGCCAGCAGCGGCCTGTCTGCACCCTGCGACGACCAGGGGCGCGCCCTCTGCGCAGACCGCCGGCGACGCGATGCGCTCACAACGGGGGCCCACATGGAGATCTGGGCCCCTGCCCAGTGAACTTGTTCCCAGAAAGGGCTCGGGCCCAGGGTTCTCTTTCAGTGTGTCTACCCCCCCGGTTCTGACGGCTGTAGGGCCGGCGAAATTATTTTTCGATAAACAACGAGGTCGCGTAGGGCCGGCGAAATCATTGTTGAGGATGTCTCGAGCGAAACGCTTGTTTTTCAGAATTTGTTGAGACTGTCTCGAGCGAAACGCTTGTTTTGTCTTATAGATTGTCCTCTCCTGGGGACCTGAATTCAGAGGATCTCTCAAGTGAAATGCTTGTTTTCACGTGCCCAGGTCTTGAGGATGTCTCGAGCGAGACGCTTGGTTTCACGCCTCCAGGTTGCCCAGACAGATGTCTAGCACGAGGATTCGATGAGGATGTCTCGAACCAGAGGCTTGTTTTCCAGCGTGAGGATGTGATGAGAACGTCTTGAGCGAAACGCGTGTTTTCACGTGTCCAGGTCGCCCAGGCACAGCACAGCCCTCGGCACGGTACATCAATATCGATACCCTTAGCATTGCAGCCTGGCATGTTGCCTGGCACGTTCTGCGGAGCGTCCCGTGGCGAGTCCCCCTGGCACATCGCGCGGTGCACGTCCATTGGCACGTTCCGTAGCGCGTCCCCTTGGCACATCCCGCGGTGCGTCCCCATGGCACGTCCCCTGGCAAGTCGCCTTGCGCGTCCCTTGGGACGTTCCGCGGCGCGTCCTCCTGGTATGTCCCCTCTGTCGATTAGTCCTTGGGCAGCTACCATCTGCTCAGGCAGCTCGAGCTTACGATCCGGATCAGTTCGGTCAGGACTCGGATGCCAGGGAGGACTCGATCCACAACGCCATAGAGAGCACGATCGCGGCTTAGCACATCGCAGTTCAGCACGGCCCAGCACAGCACAGCCCTCGGCACGGTAGATCAAGATCGATACACTCAACATTGCACCTTGGCACGTTCCGTGGGGCGTTCCGTGGCGAGTCCCCTTGGTACGTCGCGCGGCGTGTCCCCTGGCACGTCCCGCGGCACGTCCATTGGCATGTTCCGTAGCGCGTCCCCTTGGCACATCCCGCGGTGCGTCCCCATGGCACGTCCCCTGGCAAGTCGCCTGGCGCGTCCCTTGGGACGTTCCGCGGCGCGTCCTCCTGGCATGTCCCCTCTGTCGATGAGTTCTTGGGCAGCTACCATCTGCTCAGGCAGCTCAAGCTTAAGATCCGGATCAGTTCGGTCAGGACTCGGATGCCAGGGAGGACTCGATCCTCAACGCTATATAGAGCACAATCGCGGCATGGCACATCGCAGTTCAGCACGGCGTAGCACAGCACAGCCCTCGGCACAGTACATCAAGATCGATACACTCATCATTGCAGTTGCTCGTCGCCCAAGTGGGTGTCTTTGAAACGTTGCCATGTCTTACATTTCTACATTCCTTTCTGGGTTCGTGGGTCGATCATGTTTTTTTTTCCCGGACAGGGCTCAGGCCCAGGGTTCACTTTTAGTTTTGTTTGGTCCCGGTTTTGACGGCTGTAGGGCCGGCTAATTTCTTTCGCGATAAAAAATGAAGTCGCGTAGGGCCGGCGAATCAAAATTTGAGGATGTCTCGAGCGACACGCTTGTTTTTTTCAGAATGTGTTGAGGATCTCTCCAGCGAAATGCTGGTTTTGCAGAGTTGGAGGATGTCTCGAGCGAAACGCTTGTTGTTCAGAATTTGTTGAGGATGTCTCGAGCGAAACGCTGGTTTTGCGGAGTTGGGGGGTGTCTCGAGCGGGGGCCTCGTGGGGGCCAGAATTCAGAGGATGTCTCAGGCGAAATGATTGTTTTCACGTGCCCAGGTCGGCCAGGGGAGTATCCAACATGGTTGTCCGTCGCTGACGCCTCAGACGACCGCATGTTGGATATCCCCCCTGGGTGGGCTGAGACCGTGAGTTTTTTACGTGTGCAAGCCATCAGGGGGGTATATAACATGATGTTCCCGAGCTGGAATCATGTGTTTTCACGTGTCCACCCACCCTGGGGTGTATCTAACATAATAGTCCCGAGCTGGAACCACGTATTTAAACATGTTCAGGCCACCCAGGAGGGGTATCTAACATGGTGGTCTTGCGCTGGTTCTAGCTCGAGCTTAAGATCCAGATCAGTTCGGTCAGGACTCGTATGCAACGGAGGACTCGATCCGCAACACTATATAATACAATCGCGGCATGGCACATCGCAGTTCAGCACGGCGCAGCACAGCACAGCCCTCGGCACGGTACATCAAGATCGATACACTCATCATTGCAGTTGCCCGTCGCCCAAGTAGGTGTCTTTGAAACGTTGCCATGTCTTACATTTCTATATTCCTTTCTTGGTTCGTGGGTCGATCATGTGTCATGTTGCACCCCGACTCGTTACTTGACGGTCCTGGGGCCTGCGAGGGTCCCGAGAGGCCGGCCATCGCCCAAAAAAGCTTTTCAAAGTTTCACGACGCAAGGAGGTCTGCGCACGTTCCCCCTATGCAATTCCCCCGCGCAGCCTCGACAGTGCTCGTCGCAGCGCTTCTCCGCCGCTCCCATTCCCTTCCAACGTCGGGCTCCTTTCGCGACGTGGGCCCGTGGCTGCTTCTTCGCCGCTGGATTGTTCTCAGAGCGCCCCTGGGGCCCACTGACGGCCCCAAGCGCCGAATCCCGCGATCGCCCGGGCGGGCGGCGACGAAGGGAGGGAGGCCTCGGCGTCAACTCGGCGTTCGAGGACGTGATCCGTGCGCGTCGGCGCGCTCCCGACCGCCGGGCCCCCGAGGGTGCCGAGCAAGGAAGCGTCGCATTGACGGCTGGGGCCGTGGGGGATTCCGATCCGGGAGGCTCCCTATCCTGGGGGGGTCCTTATTTGATGCTGGCAGCAGTGATGCCCGTGGCCGGTCCACGGCTGGAGTTCCACAAGCGGTTCCTCTCGCAAGGCAGTCACCGTAATCGGCGTCGCGGCCCAGGGGCCGCGCTCCGGGCGTCGGCGGCCGCGGGCGGTTGGCACCCCTGCGTCGTGCGTGCGGCCCTGCGCGTGACCACGAAGCGTTGCCAAGGAGTTGGGTACACACGGCATGGTCAGCCTGGGCCAGAGCGGGGCACACACAGACACACACACAGACACACAGACACACAGACACACGTACACGCACACACAGGCACAAACTCTCTCTCTCTCTCTCTCACGCACGCACGCACGGACACACGCACGCACACACAAACACACACACACACGCACACACACAAACACACACACACACGCACACACGCGCACACACACGCACGCACGCACGCACGCACGCACGCACGCACGCACGCACGCACGCACGCACACACACACACATACACACATACACACACGCACGCACACACGCACACACACATATACACACACACGCACTTTTCGGACGCATGCGGATGGCGCGGAGAGCCACCCAGGCGAGCCGAGTTCGGCAGCAGTGGCCCGCATGCCGATCAGTGGAGTGGCACCACGAGCAGGGCGCCCAGGCCTCATGCAGCAGGGTGGCGGCGGGCTGGGTGGCAGTCGCCAGGGGGTCACACACATTTTTTGCGTCGGCGGCTAGGCAGAATCACTGCGCTGGCGATGGAGCGTTAGTGGGGTGCACACAACGCGAATTGGGCCGTCATGCACGGGGGAGAGAGGGAGACGCCCGGCGCGGGCAGGAGGGAGAAGGAAGCGGGGCCCGCTCAGAGCGGGGCCAGACGGCGGCGGGGGGGCGCCAGGGTGCCAGCGGCGGCGAGGCGGCAGCTGGGGGGTAGGCAGGCAAGGCGGCCGCCGGAGGCAAGCGCCCAGGGGGGGGCACACATACACACACACAAACACACACACACACACGCACACGCACACACACACACACGAGGCGTTCCAGAAAGGGCCTCGCCTTCGAGGATCGAATCACATGTCGTCTCTTCCTCGGCGGAAGGCGGAGGAAGGCCAGCGGAAGGCGGCGGAAGTAAAACGGTGGCGGTTCCGCGGGCGAAAGTTGGCGGAAGGCCAGGGGAAATAAAAAGTTGCCCTCGAAGAGTTGGCAACAGTTTGGGGGCTCAGGGTTTCAGCGACCCGCCACATGCGCTCGCATGTCGCATGTCTTTCCACCGCTCGGCCCTCGAACGTCCGGGTACGCCAGCCGTCCGTAGTTGCATCCAGCGCGTAGACGAGATAGGTTCTACAGTTTGTTGCGGCTGGCCTCCACGAGCGTTTCAGTGTTCCACATTTCCCTTGTAACTGTTCGTTGTGTGGGGGGGGGGCGGGATTGCTGTCGCTGAGGGCTCCTCTAGTGGGAGGATGATGGCGATTGGCGAATGTTTCACGGACGACAGTGGGCCAATTCTTGTAGGACATGGGCAACGACAGTGAGCGCCTTGGGACAGGAGTGAGACATACCCTTTCGCTCGAACTGACTTCAGCTCCATGCTGTTACTCAGCTCTTCCGTCGATTGACCAATCAGGCAGCAAAGCCTTGTCGTCTGGTCCCCACTTAGAAGAACCACGTCTTGTGCTCGCATGCGCGGTGGATGGGGAAGAGAGCAGTCGCGAGCTCTTACAAGCCCTGGCCGAGAGGCTCGCCGATATGCTTGACGAGGTCGCTCGACGCGGCGGGAGCAGGGAAGCTGCAGGCGGCAGCCCAGAGGTACAGCGATGCCCGGGGGAAGGAGGCCGAGGCGCTGACCAGGATGTCTGCCAGCTTCGATGGAAGCATACTGGAATTCGTAGTTCCGCTGGTTCTCGACGGCATATACATCGGTTAGACGCCTTCCCGCTTTCCTGCTCATCGTCCCCCCCCCTCTCCGTCTGGTCGCTACATTGAAATGTCCTGTGTTGCCATGCACTGGAGTCGTGTGCGAAAATGCGAGGTGCATTCGGTTCATGCTCCATGCGATCGGCGGTCGAGCGCGGGATATGGTCCTGCTTGGGGATATATCGAAGATGCCTACGGCGAATCCGCCCCCTCTGTCCTTTTGGAAGCGCCTATGTGGCCGACAGCTGGACTGAGTAGAGCTTGGCCAAGCTATCGGGCCAGTTCACATCGCAATTCAGCACGGCGCAGCACAGCACAGCCCTCGGCACGGTACATCAAGATCGACACATTCAGCATTAAATTTGCCCGTCGCAAAATCAGGTGTGTTTGAAACGTTGCCATGACTTACATTCCTACATTCCTTTTCGAGTTCGTGGGTCGATCATGTTTTTAATGCGAATTCCCCACCTTGCGGTCCGTTCCGGGTGGCCGGCGGGACGGGCCGAAGCCCCACGGGGGAGCCATGTTGGAAAATAATCGAAACAAAATCGCAAGAACGCCGGGCACCCTTGTGATAAACCAACAGGGAGCGGCCGATCGAATGGCCTTCGGCCCATCCCGCCACCGTGCCTGGGTTGTGGGTATGAAACCTATGGATGTTCGTTGTGATCTCGTGAGAGGCTTCTGGGGAGACTCTTGGAGGCAGTGATGACGCCTCTTGGGGGCCGTTTGGGGGCCTCTTGGGGCCTTTGTTGGGCCTCTTGGCGGCCTCTTGGAGGCCTCTTGGGGCCTCTTGTGGCCTCCTGGGCGCCTCTTGGGGCCTCCTGGGAGCCTCTTGGGGCAGAACGCTTGACTTTTCCAGGAAATGGCGGAGGCCCAGGGTTCTCTTTTAGCTGTTTCCCCCCGGCCTCGACTTGCGCAGGGCCGGCGAATTCAATTTGCGATAATCATAAATAGCGAGGTCGCGTAGGGCCAGCGAATGAAAGAGTTGAGGATGTCCTTAGCGAAACGCTTGCTTTTGAAATCCCGATCGACAAATCACAGGGTGCGGGAGACAGTTGGTCGAAGAAATGTTTCAGCTAGTGTTGTTACTTATATATATATATATGAATATATATATATATATATATATATATATATTCATATATATATATATTCATAGATAGGCCCTCTCCAAGGTCGCGAACCCATGTGTTTGCACGTATGTTCCATTCGACTGGCCCTTTCCCAGGAGTGCGAATCCGTGTGTTCTAGCGTATGTTGCGTGCCTGCTCGAGGATGGCGCGTCCCGCGCGCAGGAATTTCGAGGCTGTCTCGAGCCCCGCGCTTGCTTTGCAGAAGGAAGATTGGCTTTTTGTGCGCCCGCTCGAGGACAGCGCACCCTGCGCGCCGAATTCCTTAGGATGTCTTTGGCGAAACGTTTGGTTTTGCAGCGATCCTGGCCCTGGGAGCGCGGACGCATCGTAATTCACGAGGGATCGTGGCCCTGGAGGCGCGAACCAAGCGTAATTCACGAGGGTTCGTGGCCCCGGTGAGCGCGGACACTGCGTAATTTACATGGGAGCGCGTCCCTGGGAGCGCGGACGCAGCGTAGTTTACGAGGGATCGTGGCCCAGGGAGAGCGGACGCGGCGTAATTGACGAGGGATCATGGCCTTGGAGGCGCGAACCTAGCATACTTTACAATGGATTGTGGCTCTGGGAGCGCGGACATGAGTAATTCACGAAGGAGCGCGGCCCTGTGAGCGCGGACGCAGCGTAGTTTACGAGGGATCGTGGCCCAGGGAGAGCGGACGCAGCGTACTTTACGATGGATCGTGGCCTTGTGAGCGCGGACGCAGTTTAATTCTCGAGGGATCCTGGCCCAGGGAGCGCGGACGCAGGGTAATTTACGAGGGATCCTGGCCCCGGGTCAGGGATTTCCCGTGGCGCGTTCCTTGGCACGTCCCCTGGCGAGTCGCCCGGCACGTTCCCTGGCACGTTCCGTGGCGCGTCCCGTGGCGAGTCCCGTCCCGTGGCACGTCCATTGGCACGTTCCGTAGCGCGTCCTCTTTAGCACGTCCCGCGGTGCGTCACCAGGCGCGCCCCTTGGGACGTCCCGCGGCGCGTCAACCTGGCATATCCCCCTGGTATCGCCCAGCTGTGCATGCTGCATATGCAATTGAGGTCCTGAGAAGCGGTTCCGTGCCTCGCAGTTCTCGATCCTTTTCCGAGTTCGTGGGTCGATCATGTTCAATTCTTGGTCCCTCTCTGGGGCCCCTCTTGGGGCCGTCTTGGATCCCTCTTGGCGCGGCTTGGGCGGCTCTTTAGCCATCTTGGGGCCCTCTTGGGCCGTCGTGGAGTCCTCTTTGGGGCCTCTTGGGCTGTCTTGGGGCATTCTAGGGGGCCTCTTGGGCCGCCTTGGAGCGTGGTCAAACCGACAAGGCGGGAACGCGAAAATCGATCAAGCACCGATGGAACATCAATGATTTTGGCCTCTTGGGACCCTCTTGGGAGGCCTCTTGGAGGCATCTTTGGGCGTCTTGGGGGCTTCTTGGGCCATCTTGGGGCCATCTTAGGGCCATCTTAAGCGTCTTGGAGCGATCTTTCGGCGTCTCGGGGCCCTCCTGTATCGTCTTGGGGGCCTCTTGGGGACCTCTGGGCCCGTCGGGGGCCTCTCGTGGGCCTGAAAAAATCACGCGACAGGCCGCGACAAGCCCCAGGAGGCACGCGCCAGGGCCAAGAAGATTTGGAAATGTGGGGTCTGGGCTCCCAGTAGTTGGCTCCTCAGGACTGGGGGCCGAGGCTCGGGGCATTGGGCAGAGGACCTGAGGACACGCCCACTCCGTGCCCGGAGGCACGGTGGCGGACACACCCATTGTGGTCAGCGCATCTGTTTCGCAACGGGGCTTGGCCGACATCTCCACTTTTGGTTTGGATGTGTTTGCATACGTGTTCTGGGGTGACCTCGCAGTCAAGCATGCCTTTGACATACGCTCGAGTTTGTACTCTTTGTGCACATGCCCCCTCTCATGGAGAAGGAGATCGCCCCTTACCGACTATCTGGTTACCGCGACTTGCTCGGCACATGTCGTGGACAACCAGCACATACTGAGCAGTGAATGCTCCCGAAACCCATCCTGCAGAAGGCTAGGATGGCAGCGTTAGTGTCTACAGCACGCACGAGCCCACTCCGAACATGGCGTCCATGAGCCACCTCACTGTTCTCATCACAATCGTCGCTCGTGGCATCGAGCGAGCAGCTTTGACGGCTGGACACGCTCTTGACCTCACGCCGCCCGCAGACGGGCAGGGCCGGATTCTCGAGCCTGCTCCCACAGATCTTCAGCGTGAACGCGATCCGGATGCTTCAGAACGAGGAGTACTCTTTCACAGAGGTTCGGATTTGGCCAGAAGTGCCCCTGGCCCAAGGTGCCCCAGGATGTCCGAGGATGCCCCCGCGGCAGCCAGAGGCACCCCGCGCGAGTTCCAGGGGGCCCTCCGGGGGCTCACGAGACACGAGACAAGCTTGGGGCACCTCGGGCCACGGGGCACCTTCCGCACCCCCCCGAGAGGTGGCGGCCATCAAGCGGCGCGACCGCCTCCTGCAGGCCGTGGTCGTGCTGCTGGCCCTGGCGGCGGCGCTCGCTGGCGGGTCCTCGCTGTACGGGCTGCTCTTCGCCGCCTAGGGGGGGCGCGGGTGGCCGCCGCGGCCGGGGATCACCACGGAGACCGAGGTGCGGCAGCGGGCGCCGGTAGCAAAGAACAGAACTTGCCCTGGGCATCGCGCGGAAGGGGGGCGATGGGTGGGGCGGCAGCGAGGGCTGCAGAAGAGGAGTGGGCCCTCTAGGGCCCCTGAAGGAGCACGTTAGGGCCCAAAATGAAGCTAAACAAATACACCTTTCTCCCCCCCCCCATTTATCGCCCCCCATTAAGCGACGCCCAATTGCCCCAAGCAGTTTGCCCCGCGCAGTGCTTGCACTTCGGGCTTCTCACTTCTTTTCTAAGGGACTGGGCCTGCTCGTCTGTATGGCGGCTTTGCGGTCGCCGTCGCCGCCCCGTCGCCGCCTCGTCGCTGCCCGACTTCTGCACCTGCCCGTCGGTCAGGCGGCTATGTGGTCACTGTCGCCGCCCCGTCGCGCGCGCAGAACCTGGGGCGGGAAGAAGATGAGGGTGCACTCCTTGGCATTGCTTTCCTCCGTCCTCTCCCTCCCTGCATCCTAGCGCCTGCATCCCGGAAAATGGGCATACATTGCTCCGCCTTCTCCCTCCTCGCTCTCATTTTTCTCTGCTGCATCCGAGTGCCTTCGGTATACCCGCTTACTTCTTTCCATGCTCGCTCAGGGTACGCTGGCAGCGACGATGACGACGACGGCGACGATTGCGACGGCGATGGTGCCGACGGCGGTGGCATCGGCGACGACTATGGCACCCGTGAGGAGACGAAGACGATGCCAGCGGCGACAGTGACGATGGAGGCGACGATGGGGACGACGGCGACGGCGACGGCGGCGACGGCGGCGGCGGCGACGGCGACGGCGCCAGCGAAGGCGACGACGGCGGCGAAGACGGCGACGGCTACGTCGATGGTGAGGCGAGGGCCACGGCGTCGGCGGCGGCGCGAGCGGTGGCGGCGAGGAACACATAGGTCCACGGCGGCGACGGCGACGTCGTTTGCGACGGCGGCGACGACGGCGACAGCGACGTCAAACCCACATTAGGCGTTCCGAAAAGGGCCTCACCTTCGAGGATCAAAGGCGTTGTCATCTCTTTCTCGGCGGACGGCGGCGGAAGGTCGGCGGAAGTAAAAAGAGGCCGCCTCCGCTGGCGGAAGGCCGGCGGAAGACGGCGGAAGTAAAAGATGTACCTCAAAGGGATGAGCACGTTTTTGGGTTCAGGGTTTCCCGAATCCGCTATATGTTCGGCCTGGAATGATGGAACGTTCTCGCTTGGTAACAGTGCGGTGCTGGAGCGGACGCCGTGGGCTGCCAGAATTCGTTTCTTCGATAGAGGTCCCAGTGTTGAAGGGCGCGCCGTGGGTTGCTGGAGCGTCCTTGCTAAAACATAAAGTGCTGCAGTGCACGCCGTGGGTTGCTGGAGCGGTCTCGCTCAGTACTGCGTTCTCAAGCCAGAAGTTGTTCCCCTTGCATGAAAAGCCGTGGATTCCATTGGATTCCATTGCGTCTGTACAAAAGTCTCGTGGATCCCATCCGCCTATCTCGACTAGGCGTAAGAATGACCTTTCGCCAGAGTGACCTTTGGTGCGGGCACGGATGGGTACCCAGATGGTTGAAAACGAAGCAGTAGCAGCTGCTTGCGCACCCAGGTTTGGTCCCCCCACGGCCTCCAAAAAGTCGCGCACCAAAGGTCACTCTTACCCAGGGTCACTCTTGCGTATAGCCGGATCTCCCTGGTCGTATCTTTTGGATTCCCGTAGTCCATTTCGGGTTTTTACATCTTATAATAAGTAATTTGGTGGCCCCACAGGGCACGGGATCCGAACAGCCGTGGATTTGCAAACCAATGTCATGATTCTACAGAGGAGAGGTTTCCCTGTCGGTGGGCTGGTCGGTCGCTCGTCGTCTTCGTCGTCGGTCGGTCGGTCGGTCGGCGCGTCGGTCTGTCGGTCGGTCGGTCGTTGACGTCGTCGTCGGTAGGTCGGACGTCGTTGTCGGTCGGTCCGTCGTCGTCTTCATCATCTGGGGCTCGGAAGGATCATGTGTTCGGCCCGCGTAAGCAACCCAGTGCTAGAACACGCGCCGTAGTTTGCTGAACCGCGCGCCCTCTGTAAAAACAATGATGGAGCGCATGTGTGTTGTCGGCATGGACTGCTAGAACGCCGTCGCTCGATAATTCTTCGACGCGCAGCCATATGTGCATATCATTTCTTGGCACATCCCGCTGTTAGTACCTGGCTTTGAGTGTTTAGGCGTGAGAGCGAGTACAAGCGGACGACGGGTACGACGACGACAACGACGTCGACGACGACGGCAGCGGCTTCGATGAGGAACAGAGACGACAACGACAACAGCCCACAAACAGGCGGTAAGCAGGTCCTTCCCTTCTCCTGCCTCCTCCTCCTCCTCCTCCTCCTCCTCCTCCTCCTCCTCCTCCTCCTCTTGGTACCTCCTCCGTGCTCTTCCTCCTTCCTCTCTTTTCCCTCATCCTGGTCCGCCTCCATCCTCCTCCGTCCTTTCTCATCCTCCCAAGGGGTCGTCCTTCTCCCTCCTCCTGCGTCCTCCTCCTTCCTTCTCCTCGTAATCTCCACTCCTCTGTCCTTCCTCCTTGACATGTGCCCCCTTCCTTGCTGCCCTCTCCCCCCTGCTTGCCATTCCTCCTCGCCATAGCCCCTCCGCTCTCTCCCTCCCTCCTCCCTTCTCCCCCCGCGTCCTCCTCATTCCTCCTCTGTCCTTCCGGCTCCTCCCTGGCGGCTGCCCTTTTCCCGACATCAAGTTGATCAGGTGGCTCGGCAGTGCAACACAGGCGCCTCGCCCGAGACATCCCCGCAATCTGGCGCAACGACTGGGCGGGTGTCCTGCCCCTGGCGGCCGCCCCTTCAGGGGCTGAAGCCAGCGCCTCGCTCGATTCACCCGCAAACTCTGCTCCCAGAGGGCTCCCCCCTTTGGGGTGCTGAAGCCAACGGTTCGCTCGACGTGTCCTCACAATCTCATTCCTGGCGGCTCCCCCTTGGCGTGCTGAAGCCAGCAAGTCGCTGGAGACATCCTCACACCCTGCTTTGAACGCAGACCAGCCCACACGACCAAGCAGACACACCGGCTGAGACAGATCACGCTCTGGCAGCGAATGGGGCCGTGCAGCCACGTCTGGCGACTCCCCCTCGGGGGGCTGCCGCCAGCAAATCGCATGAGACACCTTCACGCTTTGCTCTGACGGCAGACGGGTTCAAGCCACCCGACAGGCAGACCGCCAGAGGCACCCCCACGATCTGGGCGCGGACGGGGCCGTGCAACCACCCCTGGCGGCTCCCCCCTGGGGTTGCTGAAGCCAGCAAGTCGCTCGATACATCTTCACACTCTACCTGGAAGCAGACTGGTCCAAGCCACCACGCAGGCAATCCGCCTGAGACATCCCTGCAATCTGGCAGCGAAAGGGGCCATGCAACCACCCCTGGCGGCCACCTCTCGGGGTGTCGACGCGAGCGAATCGATTGATACATCATCACGCTTTCCTGCAAAAGCAGATAAGGCCAAGCCGCGAGCGAGGCAAACCGTGTAGGACAACCCCACACTCTGGGCGCGAACGGGGCCGTGCAACCACCCCTGGCGGCTCGAAGGGTGCGCGTGGCAGGGGTGTTAGCAGTGTGTTCACGCCTCGTTGTCAAAAGGGCTACGGATGCAGCGAGGATCAAAGCGTGAACATCGCCACTGAGATACCCCGACACAGTCACATGTTTTTCGTATCCGTTCAAGCATGAATGTTCCACTGGCAGAAGTAGGCACGTCAGCATGGAATTGACAAGAGGCAAGACGCAAAACATATGACACAGAGAATGAGACAGCAGTCCAGCAGAGATATTCACAGCATCGCGCCCCGAAGGCGAACAGCATATTTGGAGGGTTCAGCGTTGGGGCACGCCAGAGAGAACCAAGTCGGGCTAGGTCTTGGTCCGTAGCCATTATGGCCCAAGCTGTGTGTTCGAGCCTTCGCAGTAGATACGAGTGGGTCTGCAACAGGGAATCGTCAGGTCTGGCTCTCTTCGGGGACCTGTTTGGCATCTGGCTGCTATGGACGTTCAGTCCAGCATGAGCATGCTCATGCTCAAGAGCAAGATGGAGGGGGAGCGAAGGAGAGTCAACTCCCGGCCCGAGGTGCACATCACTGTCCAGGAGCTTCTGCTTCAGGACAGTGGTTCCATATCTTTCTCCACGCAGGAATTTTCCCTTCAGGGCTTGAGAGTGCGAGCGCTTGTTGAGATCAAAGGTACGCAGGCGACCATCGCTAAGGAGCTCGGGCAGGAAGCTGCAACCCGCCTGCTGAAGAAGGCCAGCTCCTGGGTCCCAGGCAAAAAGAAGGACAAGAAAGCGTCGTCTTCGAAGTCCGAGAAGGCGACTCTGGTTGGCAAGAAGGGCACTGTGGAAGTGGAGGACAATGCTGCACAGGCTACGGGCGGCGACGACGAGGTTCTCCAGACGTGCACCGTCGAACTGGCTTTGAACGTCTCGAAAGAGCCCGCAGACGATAAGGTGCACGTCAAGATACGCGATCTCAGCGTGGGCGAGAACACTTTCGCCTCGCCAGCTACCGCGAAGAAGGCGCTCAGCAACCACCGAATCAAGGCCATGATCGAAGCCGGATTGGCAAAAGTCATGAGGCATTCTTTCACGAAGAAGCTCAAGAAGGCGAAGGCGGCACACCCATGCAGGTCAGCGATCAGGAAGCTGTGCTGCTGCTTCTGCAAGCGCGCGGAGGCTCTGGCGCAAGGCATGTGAGACAACTGGGCCGCCGAGCTGTCGACAATGGGTAAGGCGGCTTGGGGTGGCGCGCACACAGGCCCCCGATGTAGTTCTGGTCCAGGGCGGTCTCAGCATCGCTGCCCTGGGGCTCGGAGCGCCCCAGGGGGCGCCGCCTCCTGCGGCGCTGGGGTGTTGAGACCGCCCGAGGCTGCTCTCGGGGGCCCCCGAACAGTGCGGGGACCACACCGTGCGGTGAGTCAGTGGGGATTCCGGGTGGCCGCACGGCTTTTTGATTCGCGTCGTTCTCCGAGAACCCAGTGGTTACCGTGCGGTGACGGACCTCGAGGTCTTTGGGGGTTTCGTGGTCACCGCGCGGTCTCTCACCCACCCGCTTGGGACCTCCAGTGCTCGGGGGGGCCGTCTGCGCGCAACCCCAGGCCTTACTGCTCCAGCCGACCTCGGCGCAGGCTGCAGCGTGAAGCTCCGCCGGGGCCGTCTTGGCTGCGCAGCTCGGCCCTTTCCGGTGCCAGCCCGCTCGGTGGGCGAGGCGGGCGGCCGCAGCGGCTCCATCGACGAGCCGCGTGGAGGCGGCTCTCCCGTGGGCGACGGCGTCGGCGCTGCCGCCCCCCGGGGCCTCGCGGCGTGGCGCGTGCCTCCGCTCCCTGGGAGGCCCGCCCGCGGTGGCTCCCGCTCGGAGCCGCGGGCGGCGCGGCGAACTCGCCGCGGGCGGGCGGCGCGTGGCGCAGGCCCGCCCGAGGGCGCGACGAGGCGGCCCTCACGGCGTGGCCACGTCGGCGGCGCGCTGCGGCCCTCGGCGGCGCGGCGGCAGGCGTGGCGTGCTGCCCGCGCCAGAGGCGGCCCTGGTGCGCCGCGGCGCGGCGAGGGAGGCGGCATCCTGGACTCCGAGGAGGGGGTGCCGGAGACAACGGCGCTTGGCCTTCGTCGGGGCCCTTCGCCGCCCCGGCCAGGGGCAGCTCGGCGGACTGGTTCGGGGAACGACTTTGGGCGTCGCGTAATGGGGGGGCGACAGAGGAGGGGGGGAGGAGCGAGGGCTGCAGAAAAGGGGCCATTAAGGGTTCAAAAGGGAAGCTCTGGGGCCCGAGAAGCGCACCTTTCTCCCCCTCTTTATCGTCCCCCCCCCTATGCAGCGACGCCTAACGGTTCTGGGCTGCCGTTGTCTCACCTCGCCCTTCTCCGGTGGACGCGGCTCGCTGTCCTGCAGCGCGCCCCTCCGAGGACGGGGTGTCGACGGCTCAGGCCAGGGCCGCGCCGCGGCCCGCGCGGGTGCTGTCGGTGCCCGCGCAGGCTCAGATCGAGGGACGAGCCACGATGACCGTGACCAAGACATCGCGGAATTCAGTCGACGCCGATGTAGGTCACGGTCCGCGCCGGCCGTTGCCGATTCACGGTGATGGTCCACGAATTGGCGATGACCAAGATGATCGATGACCGAGATCGAGTCTTACGTTTCCGCGTTCAGTTTTGGACATGGTTCTCGAGTGCGTGCCCTCCTTCAGAGACGAAGAACGTAACGATGGCGAGCCACTTTCCCTCGCGTTCTCGAAGGACAGCAAAATTGCCTAAGACACGATGTTTCGGCATGCTCTCTCGGGGGTCCGGGCGGATTTCTTGGGTATGCGCTGGGCCTCCCTTCCCTTGCGCGCGAAGCGCGACAGGGTCGGCGCAGGAGGTGCCGCCCCAGGAGGTCCAGCGCCGACGCAAGAAACCTGTGCGGACATCCGAGAGTTTATGATTATGCTGGTTCGTGTCCTTTCCATTCTCCGCCCTCTGGGGCACGCATGGGTTTTTCGTCCACGTTTCACCCATACCATCCCGGTCGCGGTTGCTTGAGTTTTTTTGTCGTGCACTCCGACCAGGGTTGGATGCGGATTCGACGTAATTTCGACACGGATTATGACACTGATTCGACGGGTTCTACATGGATTCGACACAGATGCGACATGGATGGAGGGCGCGATGGGGCGGACGAGGACCCCCAAGGATGCAACCTAAAACAGTTCACTCAGATTGGCTCCGCCCAGGCATTTCGGGTTGATCGTTTCAGACTCAGTTTCACGGAATCGGTGCGCCATTGAATTGGGTACGAGCGCGCGGGTTTAATCGCGGTTGCCTCCGCACACGGAGTTCGCGGAGTAGGCAGAGGATGGGGAGAAGGAACAACGGGAAGGGGAGGAGGGGAGAGGAGAAGGCAGAGCGGGCAGCAGGATGATGAGCAGGAGGAGGCGGAGGAGGAAGAGGGGTAGGGAGACGTGTAGGAGAGGGAGGAGGAGGGGGAGGGGGGAAGGGGAAGGAGAGTGACGACGGAGAGGAGCAGCAGAGGGATGGAGGAGGAAGACGAGGAGCAGGAGTAGGGGGAGCAGGAGCGGCAAACATCCCTGCGTTTGGCCCCAAAGTTTGGTCGCCCAGCCGAAGGTTCCACAACATCAGGATTTGGGGTCGCCATGATCTCGTTGTTTGGAGCTGCCTGCCAGCCTCGGACCGTCTTCGGGCTTCCACGCCGCTTCACTCCCCTTTGCTCTCTCCCTCTCTCCCTCCTCCCCGTCTCCGCTTTCCCAGCGGTGCCCTCAGAGTTCGAGTGAGATCTGCATCAGTCGTCCACGATCGGGGTTTACATGTCCAGATCTCCATGAGCTTGATTCTGCTTCGAATTCCTTCTTTCTCCCTCCTCGCCTACTCCGCTTCCCAAGGTGTGCCTTCAGAGTTCGAGTGAGGTCGGCATCAGTCGTCCACGATCGGTGGTTGACATGGCCAGCATTCCACGAGCTGATTTCTGCTTTGGATTCCTCCCCTCTCCCTGCTCGCTCCGCCGCCTCGTGGCCGCCTCGGGCACGCTGCTGGGCTGGGCTAGCGCGCGCGAACGCACGGCCCCCATGATTGGGCCCGCAGATCGGGAGTCACGCCGGGCCCCCAGGGGGAAGCTCGCACGCAGATTGTGCAATCCTTGCGTGTTGGGGGTGCCGCCTCGACGGCGCTCGGTGCCCATCGTTGCAATGCTTATTGGGGCCATGTTGGCGTCCTGTGGGGGATCGGACGGCCTCGTGGGTGTCCCAGGGGAGCCTGAGGCAGGGAATGCGTGAGGGGTATGCAGGATTGAAGCTCTCGTGGCCCTGCGAGGACAAGCCATTTGTATGTTTACATATCCCAGGGTGATGTCAGACAGGAAATGCGTGAGTAGTGCGTCAAGATGAGACGTTCGTAGTCCTCGGACCAGTCAGAGGCTCCTCCCGAGCCGATGTGTCGAAGATGTCCTGAGCGAAACGGCCAGTTGGGGCCATCGGAGCACGTGCCACTCGTATTTTTTGGCGTCCTGGGAGAATGGGCCGTCGGAGTGCACGAGGCCGTTGCTAGAATGCCTTCACGCATGTTTCTCACCATCATCAATGTCATCATCAATGCCATCATCCTCATCATCATCATCAGCAGCAGCAGCATCATCAGCAGCAGCATCATCATTTGATCCTCATCCTCATCCTCATCAGTATCAGAATCATCATCATCATCCTCGTCAGCATCCTCATCAGCAGCAGCATCATCCTCCTCCTCCTCCTCCTCATCATCATCATCATTGTCATCATCAGCATCAGCAGCATCGTCGACGTCATCGGCATCGTCATCAGCATCATCACCGTCATCACCATCACCACCACCATTATCCACATCATCACCATCGTCATCGTCGCCGTCGTCGTCATCGTCATCATCATCATCATCATCATCATCGTCATCATTATCATCATCATCATCATCATCATCATCATCATCATCATCATCATCATCATCATCATCTTCACCATCGTCATCATCATCATCATCAGCATCCTCTTCATCCGCATCATCATCCTCGTAAGCAGCATCATCACCATCATCAGTACCATCAAATTTCTTAGTAGCATTGCCATTATGAACCATAGTTTTACTACCATATTGTTCACTGCATCATCATGATTATCATTATCATTATCGTCATCATGGTCATCGCTATCATTCTTATTACCATCATCGTCAGCATCATCATCACCATTACCATCGCCACCATCATCTTCCATCATCATCATTCTCATCATCATCATTATCGTCATCACCACCACGATCATCATCATCATCATCATCATCATCATCATCATCATCATCTCATCAACCCTCGGATGTCACAATTCTGCCAGGGCCCGCAGGGCGCCCGCCGAATTCAATTGAATGCCCCTGAGGGTGCAGACACCGCCGCCCCAGCTTTTTTTGATCGTGGATTTTCGGGAGGGCAGTAGAAACTTTGGGAGGATGGGTGGAGGCGCAGGAGGACAATTGAAATGACCTCAGAGAGCGAAAGGGGATGCAAGATGGCTCCAGAGGGTTTCCCAGAACGCAGCCAAACTGGCATTTGGAATGATTCCAGAGGGCGAGAGGGAGGTGGAAGATTGGTCCAGAGGGCTTGCAAAGACGCAAGGAAACTGCCGAAGAGGGCTCCAAGAGGCTGCAAAAACATGCCACAAGGGCACCCAATGGTGTGCAGCGTCGTTTTGGGACGGAAGTCATGGCAAGAAGGCGCCTCGGCCGCAGCCCGGGCGCCCTGGCCGGCAGGATCAGCAGGCCGCGGGGAGGACCCTAGGAGGGGTTGCCGGGGCTCTGAGGAAGGGCGTGGGTACGAGGAGTGCGCGGGCAAGGGGCTGCGGGGAAAGAATTCGTGCAGACGGTGCGGCGGGGACATCACACGCCGTACCCGGCGGGGCGAGGGCCCGCAGGCGGCCCGCCGAGTGCAATCGCGTCGCTCATTCCGTCGGCCCATGCTGTGTGGAGTGTGTAGTGGCCTGCGGCCAGACTGGGTCGTGGACAAGAGAGGCCTTTCTTTCTCGGGAGGCTTGTTGGGGTCTCTCTTGAGAGGCCCCTCGGGGGCATCGTGGCGGCATTTGGGGGCCTCTTGGGTGTCTCTTGGGTCCTCTCGGCGGTGTCTTCGGGGCCTCTGCGGGTCTCTAGGGGGCTCCTGTGGGCTTGCTGGCGGTCTCGGGGGCCATCTTCGGGGGAAAGGGCTACTGGCAGTTCGAATTCCCTCATTGGGGCTTTCTTGGGGCCCTGTCAGGCCATCTTAGAGCTATCTTGGGAGCCTCGTTGGATGTCTTGGGGCGATCTTGGGGGGCGTCCCACAGAAATTCAATAACGCGAAAATCTGCCACCAATCTTAGGACAATCAATGAGGGTTATTGCGGCTCTCTTGGCGTGCTCTTGGGGCTCTTTTGATGCGTTTCGGAGGCATCTCGAGCCATCCAGACGTTATCTTGGGCGCTGATCCCGCTCTTTGGCCACTCGTGGGCGCTCTTGGAGCTCCTTTGGGGCGCTCCTGGGACTCTCTGGGGGGCCCCGAGGGCGGCGCCCCGGAGCAAAAGCATCTCTGAGGAACCTTGCCGGACATGTCGCCGGATACTTTTCGCCCAGTGGCTCCCAGGGGCGGCCCCGCGCGCGCGAACCAGAACCATTCGAAAATTGCTACCAGAGATCTTAGCACGCCTCTGACCCGTTGGGCCGGCGAATGTCTTTGCCCCGCCCCTCGGGGCTCAAGGGACGTGGGTCAATGCAAGCGGGGGTCAGCCAGGGCGCCACATCTTGCAGGATCCTGCAGAGCCAGGGCTGCATTGACCTGGGCTTGCGCGCAGGATCCTGCAGGATCTTGCAAAGCCTGACGGACCCGGGTTCCCGGGTTTGCA